GAAGCTCTGCCGCAGCATGAAACGTATAACTGGACTACCGGTACGATTCAAAATTTTAGTAACTCGATCTACTGGCCACTATAGATAGCTGGAGTCAATTTTTTTTTAAGTAGGCAATTTTTACCTCAGTCGCGCGACTGATTTGACGACCCCTAGATCCGCCCCTGCATAAGATGACGGAATGGCGTCTTCTACAGGATTCATTAACTTCTTCAAATAGGTTGTCAATGCATGTTCATGTTAAGTCCCATTGAACATTTTTGGACCAACTGATTGTTGTACAAAGTTGCATGAAATTTTCAACAAAGTCAAACACGATCCAACATCTTCCAACATCAGCCAACATTATCCATCATTATATATATAGGCTAGTGTTCACGCATAGTGCATGACCGACATGTTGGCCTCGTTTGAACTGGCTCTTTACATAAATTTCATCGGCCATAATTATATATAGTGCTATAAGATTCGAAACCTAAGACTACGCTTTCTTGTCTATTAATTATAATGGAATTATTGTTTTTTGCTGTGCATATGTATGTATAAATAAACAAAATGGCAGCACGATTCGCAATTTTTCCAAGTGTGTGTGAAGAATCTAACAGAGATGAAAAACACACAAAAGGCAGCATGATATGCTGTTGAAGCCATTTTAAAATTTAAAAATGAAGTAGGTTTTTTTTTAATTTAAAACGTGACGTTTACACTATGCTTTATAGAGATTTTGTCATAAAATGCTAATTGTTGTATAAATGTTGTTGATTTTTCTTTCGTCGCTATATAACAAATCACTTGGTGGATTGTCTGCTCCCTCAGAAACGGTTCCCTCGTCGAATTTGTCTCGGGAAACATTGAGACACTAGCTCTCGGGAGACTATCGGGAGCAGACATTAAGCTAAGGGTATATTCAATCACTATTACTGTACGATTGCCCGACACGGCTGTGAATACTGAGGATCGTATCGTTTCCTTGTATAAGGAGCCTATAAGTGTAATTCGTTCCGATACTGGCCCTGGTATATTAAGTGGCACTTCAAATTTAAAATTCAAAGACTTCTTAGATTAAACGACAAGCTTCATATATCATTCGAGTTTCACAAGTTTATAGGTAAGCCTGTTTCTATAATACAAGTGCACGACAGAAGTATAGTCACTATAATATGGTTAAAATTGTTTAAGTCCGTGTACAGCAAAGCCGCTAGGAATCATCCTTGAATAAGCGCCTTCGCCAGCTCAGGCGAGATGCAATATTAAGAATTGACATATACTCAAAGTCGGAACATACATTCAACATTCATCAAATGATGTTTTATTTTTATTTTAGCTTCAATTTAAATTTTTGACATTGCAAAATATAATTAACCACATATTTGTTTAACTGAGTTTACTTCGTAATTCGTAAATGTGTTAAATCAAGGCAGATATATTGCCATAATGGATCTGTTTACACATAGCTTATAGTGTAATATTTTATATAAAACGCGAAACAATGGGAATAAATAGAATAATGAAATACTTACAAAAGATAATAAACGCGATTACCAACAAGAAGAAATTATCGACAGGCGTTGCATTTGGATTCTGCGGAACAGCCATGATTATTAAACACCGTATATACTGACGTACTGTCAATTTCTTAGCGTCCTTCCCAAAACAGTATTTATAAACTATATATCGTTGACGTTGTGGTTTCGCCTTTTACAGTAAATGTAACCGGCCTTATGTTGCCACTGACACTGTTAATTCCTTTTGAAACTTTTGAGACACTTTGATATTCTTTCCGAAAATCAGACCTAAAATAAAATTTAAACAACGGTAATATGTGTCAAAAAAAATACAGAGCTATATTTGAAAGTATATTAGCTATGCATTTATAATTTGTTGCCACGGACAACTGTATTATAGGAGCTGCTTTATTAATTTTAATGAGAGTACTGGCAGGTGGAACTGCATGACATTTCGTTTGCTTTGGATTTCAAATATGTACCTGAAATGTTTACACTATAACTTAAAGTAATTTAAATCAATGACATTCTAATACAATCTGCGATCTCTTTAGGCTTTCCTCAATTCGCCTTAGCACTATACGATATAAAACATGTAGCATACATCGTGATTCGTGAGTTCTATCAAATTACTGATGTGGAAATTTCATTTAACAATTATTCGCCGAAGGCGAGGTGATTATCGGGGAATATTCGCCGAGACAAAGTCGAGGTGAATATTCCCCGATAATCACCGATCCTGAGGAGAATAATTGTTTTAGTATTTTTACATAAGTCTTTGTCTTGGGGACTGAATATATATTTTAATTTCGCTTATTTCTTTATCAGCAACTTTCACAAAACAGCTAGCCGCCATTTTGAAAATTTCGGTTTTGTTATATTCACCTGTAGGTGAATATAACGGCTTAATACGACAAATTTGACCAATCCACGTGTAGGATTTGGTATGTTCACTTGTGCAAAAATACTAATAAACAATATCCACCTGCACAGAAATACGAATGCTGAAGAATAATTAACAGTTGGACAAATAAAACTTTACTTACATATAAATTTATTTTCACAATATTTCAAAACTATTTGATCAACTTCAGAAGAAAATTTCATTTCAGGAACACTGGTCGATGAGTGACTCATGAGTTCCGCAAATCGTTCTCTTGATTACTGTTGAGTTTTGACGGTTTGTCATTGTAACCGAATTAAACCAGCTAGTTTATATACACGAGTAAAATATATATACTGTATAATTATGTTCGAAGCTACAGATAAACATCAAGCCGAGTCGAAAACGTTAGTCTCCGGAGTGATTAATCGACTGATATAAAATGACTAAAACCATGTAATAATTAGCCCATGCAACTGTTAGGAAGGGGTGAAGTTAAAGGAAAGGTGAAGTTTCTAAAGGGGGACGAATTTCGTAAAGGGGGACGAATTTCCTGGAAATTTCGCTCCCCGGGAGGGCGATATTACTATACTGAGGGACATTATTACTAGGGGGTGAAATTCCTGCATGGGGGGCTATATATAGGATACTATCCATGATTTAGGCATACTATCCCTTCTCCAATATAGGATCAGTTAAGATTACATCACGGACTACCATGCAATCTAGAGCGGTCAACATTTTTCCAAAGGAAGGTTGATTGGGTACGGTTGCATTATTGGCTTTTTGTGATGGGATAGCCTATATATTACAGTAAGACATTAAGACATTTTTATTTTTCTCCAAGTGCCTCCACAATCAGGGTTTATTTTAACGTGCAGTTCTACACAAAATGTGCAGTTCTAAACCCATTTGTGCAGTCCTTAAAACTCAAATGTGCAGTCACCAAATTAACAAAAATACTGTATAACCTCAAAACAGTCTTCTCATTTACTCGTTTTCCTTGTGGATGCTCCAGATGCCAGAAATGCTTTTATTGAGCATCAAAAGTCTAAATGCTTTCTGGGAGAGGACCACCAGACCCTCATATTTTTCTCATAAATCACATACGTGCTGGGAGTAATGGAACAGGATGTAAAATTGGTGCGAGCGCAGCTATCCCAAAGAGATTAGAATAGAAGAACTTAATATTCTTTGCTGCCTAAGGTTATTATATATTGAGTATTCATGATTCCCAGTTAGCCTACATGTTTTGAAACAGTTGTTGTGGGTCGTTGGGTGAAACAAATCTTTGCCAGAACTTACGAGCCTCTAAATTCAAAATTTGGGGGACACCCCCTACCTGTAGCTCCCCCACCCAGAATCGAGTTTGTCTGGCCCCACCTAACTACACCTTTATTCTGCTACCTATATACAACCTATGTACAAATTAAAAGTCTATCATAATTTACAACGTTAACTATAGATTTACAACGTTAAATATAGATAAAAATCCTTTGACCCCTCAGTCAAACACCCTTTGACCCCCCAGTCAAACATGTCATGCTTCGTAACATCGTTGATATGTGCAGTTCTAAATTTTTCTTAAAATAAACCCTGTCCACAATAATGTTTCAGATAGTTGCTAAAGACCTTTTTAAGCTTTCAGTTATACTTTCCGTACTTAAAATTCCTTCATATGCATGACTGCCAATCCTAGATCTACACAATGATGCGCGCACTTTATCACTATAAAATGTGATTGTACATTTGAATCTAGAATTGCAATTTGAGTTATATTCCGGGTAAGGGACACACTGGCGAAAACCAAATGGCGGATTTTGCAAAGGAGTCTGCTGCAGGTTACCAACAAACTTCAAAAACTAAACACAAATCAAAGCGCAAGACGGATTAGCCAAAGCTTTTAGCAATATTTTCAAAATGATATGATCATGCACTTTGGCTAATAATATTTCGCCGATGTCTATAGCTCCACACAATCGCGCATATCAGTAAATCATCAAAATCGAAAATTTACCGAAAACATCGCTAGAGGTATATACGTTAACTTTGCACGTGGATGATTCTGACGTATGTGATCGAATAACGACGCGTAAAGTGCTTGCATTTAAATTTTGCCCTAAACTAAATGCAGAGGAAATGGGTCGTCAGCAATATTATTTTCATATACGCCAGAATACGCAATGCATGTACACGATAAGCCGTATGGTGTGAACGTAAGGTACCTTCTCGATTGTCTTAACGTCACTTACGCCACCTGAAAATCGAAAGACTTCAACTGAAAAACATTCCGCTCATTTACAATTTTCCCGTGCTGTCTTTACTGCGAAGAGTCTCGCATGTATCGTGCGTGTGTAGGCTCGGCACTTTTGCGTGGGATAAAATGTTTAAAGCCCCGTTTACACGAGCGAATTTTATTTCACAAATTTCATATGTCAAAGATATTTTGTTCGTGTAGATGACACATTTGTGAGAAATTTATTGTGACAAATCCATTTGAACAAAAGCTAGCATGTTAGCTTTTGATCCGCAAAAGCATTTGTCATATTAAAATTTGTCAAATAAAATTTGTTCGTGTAAACGGGGCTTAATTAGGAATGCCATGGGAATCAATGTCATTGGAAAATCAGATGTAGATATTTTAATTAATGACAAAAAGCTTCAAAAAATTACTACTTACTTAAAAAAAAACTTTCGCTCGATTTTCGCTTTGTATTTTTCAGGTAGTTGCATCCCTACCAACGAAAGCCTGCTAATCATTTCAGACGTATATGACTTGCAACTAGAAACGTAGAGGAGAGCTAGAACCAAGGTTTGCAATATTGTTAGGAAGTAATATCACTTAAGGTGGCTCCCTACAGTTCTCTAAAATTCTAGGTATTTTGAGTATCGTTCGCTTTGAACCGAACTTATATTAGATACACTTAAGACAAGGCAATATGATCATTTCCAGGAAAGTTGAGAAGCTGTGTGCTGTCCATTTATGAACAAATTAAAACAGTGTTTGTGTTGCCATGGCAACCATGACGTGTAATCTTTTGCACTTTTATTGTCTAATTTCACAATAAATTGACAATATCTATATTTTCCTTCGGTGAATTTTTCTGAAATTTTTTTTGAAGATTTATGGTCCATAAAGGAAAAAATATCAAAATTTGAAGGGAATTTATAAATAAGTTTTCGAGATATTCGTGAATGACGGTTACAGAAAAAGTTATTTGTAGAATTTCTTAAAATTTGGATATGTTGTACCACTTGTCCTTTATAACAAAAATACAAAGTTTAAAAAAATTTCACCGAAGAAAACACGAGAAAATCATCGCTAAAATCGGCGTGGCCAGCATGGAAAAAAATCGACTCGACATGAGCACGATCTGCGCATGCGTGTAAATTGTAGCGTGTGATTTATTGTGATTTCAACTTTTTGGCTTACAATGCATACGAAAACTGATATTTCTGACTTGTTTGATATGAAAATAAAATATTAATCTTGAAAATACTAATAAAAAACACTATTATAGGCATTGTATTAAATCCAGTGTTAGTTTACATTTGTTTTTGTTGTTAAAATCGGTGTGAAAACTTTTCAAAACATCGAACTACAAGTTTAACTTTTCATATAAAACAACTCATAACTGTTTTATTTGATTTAGCAGATAAAACGATACCTGTGAATTGAATTGATTGACAGAACTTATATAAGTTTCGGCAACAGTTCACTACTGTTCAAGAGTTAATAGAAGACAGTATCATTTCAGTTTGGCAGCTCGCAAAACAACAAGTTGAAAATTTTGAGCAATATGAAAGACAATATACTGAACGTAAATACGTAAAAACACACTAAAAGATAGGTAAAACTAGTTAATAACATACGTACTGTTCGAATTCAGAATAAATTAGGATTATGATGAAAAACTGGGGCTTTCTTTGTAGATAAAAACGCCAAAAAACTTCCCACGGCTTGTTTCAATATTTTTGCCGAACAGTAAACACGAGTACACGACGATTCCACGCGCAGGTCGCGAGGATGAAGTCTGATCTATATAAATCGTATTTAAACTGTACTAACTGTAGGGAGCCACCTTAACATGCACATACTACAATATCGTTGGTACATGCATATAGTTCCGCTTAAAAAAAGAAACTGACTATTCTTCAAAGATTACTAAAATTGAGACACATACATGCATGTACAAGGTTTAGCTTTATTAACGATACTAAAGTATACAGTATGTCCCATGTGAGAATATCTGAATTTAGAAAATGATGTTACTGTAAATTAATGAGAAAAAGTTGCTGTTATACAGTGTGAAGATAAAGATATATCCAAGTATGATTATATAAACGGGTAAATAGGTAAATAGATTTCTGTGTGTAAACGGGTAAATAGATTTCTTGATCTTATTTTATCCATGTTTACCCATATATACACAAGGTGAACTTTAATAAGAAATAACAACAAAGGCAGCATCTCGCCAAAACTGGGCCAGCTTGGGTACCCCAGGGCAGGCTTGCACCATATAAACAGACCCTATATATTAGGCAGTACATATTTTCTCTGATAATTGGATTCTTTGGAGATTTTGTGTGTAAATGAATAAAATGACCCTTTACGGGTGGGTTGAGGGGGGTGTTTCTGTCAACATTTTGGAAAGCAATAATATCTTATTAAAAAAATTAGAATAATCACATATTAAACTGTGTTAGTAGCATATATTGTATTGTGTGTGATTAAAATATTGTTATTTTTACCCCACCTTTTTGGCCACCCCACTTAAAGCAAGTATTATTATTATTTGGCCACCCTACCTATAAAGCAAGTATTATTTTTCAGTTATTCCATCATTTTTTCTTCGGCACCCACCCCCTCCAATAAATAATGATCGGTCCCTAATCAACTTTCAAGTGCGGAGCTGGCAATTAAGATGGCAGTTTTTGGTTTAATTTGGTAACCAAAGTTTAACCATAATATCTATACGTTTTGGTTCCAACATGTTGTTAGCTTCAAGAACAATGAATTCTTGAATTAAAGTGCATATGACATGAAATTTCTTATTTTCTTAAATGAAAGAACTCTTTAAGCTGTAGTGTAACTTACTTTTCAGTTTCTTATTTTTATGGGTTTTCCCGAGATATTTCTATTTGTTTGAGTGTAGCCACAAGCCGATCTCGAATAGCGAGCGGTGAGCGGCGAATCTTTCGGGAACAAACCATAAAATCAAGAAACTGAAAAATAAGTTACACTATACAGCTTAAAGAGTTCTTTCATTCAAGAAAATAAGAAATTTCATGTCATATGCACTTTAATAGCAAAGATATACAGCGTATATACTTTTCTTTGTTATATAGACAATTCGGATCGATGCAAACTGTTTGATTTGCAGTCTGAGCTAAAGATTTTAATTCATGTTGGTGAGAATGAGAATATTGTAAACATACTGCGTGCTTGTACTAAAGGTAAGGGAATTTCTATAGTCTATCAACCAAAGCTACACTGTTGTCATATACATTCGTTCTCACTGACACCATGAGGATCAATACTTCGAACTTTCACCTATGATAGGATATGCCAGATTAAACCGAGAGACAGGCTGCGAACAGGCGTTTATTCATGGGTCCTCGTAATAATAAACGCCTGCCGGCATGCTTTATACTTTTCAAAAACGCTCCTTTGAGTCACGCCTATGGTCACGCCCACCTGTCAAAAACTCAAAATCACAACAGTGCAACAGGTGGGAAAATTGTTGTCGCTGACCAAATTTATCGTGGACGCTTTCATTTTGCCAGCAAAAATTGTGAAAACAACAAAAACACAGCCGATTTCGCTACCCTGTTTCTCGTACTGCAGCAGAGGAAAAACAAAAGAAAACTAGCAGACGTAAACGTTAATAAACGTTAATCAAGATCACAATTACTTGTAGCAATCGAGAAATTAGCATTCAAGGATTCTTCGCTGAAACATGGCCGAAAATGACGTTTCTTGCAAAATGTGTGTTTTTGATGGCAAATAACCTCGAGCAGGAACTTAATATTAATGGAATATTACTTGAAATTTGCAGTACATGCGTTTTTTGTCCAGGACAAAGTATAAATATTTGGTTTTTGAGTGATACTGTGCACCAACGATCATCGTCAAATTTCAGTATGTGAGATATTTTGCTAAAATTGCTTGTTTTTCACCTTAATTTTCTCATATATACAGGTTGTGCCAATGAAATGTGATTAGGTCAGAAGATGTGCTTTTCTTTCTACTTTTTGCTAATAGAATGTAAACTCGCCTAAAAATGAAGAAAATACTGCATTTTGGCAAATTTCATGTGCAAGTGTAATTTATATAAAAAATGCGACTCAGGAAATGAGCATCACTCCATCAGAATAAACATTTTGCCATGTATTTTGCTATAATAGATTTAAATAATATTATTTTTAGGTTTTCAAAGTATTTAAAAACAGATAAACATAGCAATCAGATTTTTCTATGACACTCATTTCGAAGCGTAAATTTTGTATCATTTTTAAACACAATTTTTGCTCGTTCAAAATTCTATAAACACAAATTCTGTCATGTTACAGGTTGTGCCAACAAATATCGCGGTTTTACATTAAATTTAAAAAGATTAATTATTTTAAAGTCGGTATTAAATTTCTTGGCTCTGTAAAAAATGAAGAAGTGTTAGTATTTTTGGTTTGGATTTCACATTTTATTGAAGCTACCAGACAACGTCCTAAAAGGAAATGTTATGCTCTGTTTTGTTTTGCACTGAAAAAAAAGATATTAATTGATTAATAGTTTACATTGTAAATATGTGGCAATATAGGAAATCAAAGTATTACTGGAACATTTTTTGTCAGTGAATCCAATTTTTGTGAAGATTTGTGGGCCTAAACAGCAGTTGCAAAATTGTCTTTCGAAGACTTTGTTCATGTTGTTTATGTTTTTTAAATCAACAAAGTGGGAGCACGCATCTTCTTCTCCCGCTGGACACCCGAGCAGTTTTCGCGCATGCTCAGTCAATATTTCCTCCTGTTCAACAGTGCTCAAGGTATCAAACGAACTTCCTACGAGCTTCCGTCATCTTACGTGGAATACCGGATTTCTTTTCATTCTTGAGATGTCCAAACAGGCCTGAATAAAGTATTTCCCTGCCTGCCAAACTATAAAAAATTTCCTGCGAGAATTTTGTTATTTATAACTAAGAGCACAAGCACTAATGTGAAAAATAAAGCTATATACTTTTAAAAAGTAGCTACTGCACTCGACATGAGGCACATCGATAGCACTATGACTCTAACATCATTGAAATAACTTTTTATTCTGACTGTTCCTGGAAATTATTTAATTTAGTTAAAAATTTGTTTTTCTGAGTTTCTGTTATCACTGATCATGCAGTGATGCAGTCATCGCTCATCGCTCATCAGTGTTATGTAACTATGTACTTATCCATGTACTTCTAAACTATTGATATATTATAAATAGGCTATAGATAGATAATGGCAACGGTATATTGTATAAATATCAAGGTTAGATATTTATATAAATAAATCATAAATGAAATCATGATATGAAGATCATCAGTATGGCTTTGTTTTCTTTTCATGCAGGTCTGGGTCTTCATTTTTTCAGGCCTGGGTCTTTTCTTTTCAAGCCTGGGTCTAGTTTATTCAGTTCATTTCTTACTGCATGTACGGAAGTCTTGACTTCTCTTTGAGCATTCTGTTTACAACCATTGAATTGCTGGATACACTCACTGTGCCAAATAGGCTGATGACATTTGATCTTCTTACAAAGCGAATGCCATGCTGCCGTTTGAAATATTGTTTCATAGCCGCCAGCACAACTTTATCACATTGGGCTGGTGAACGACCATTAACGCTAACCATCATTTCGTTGTATGCGGCATTCTCATTCACATTTCTAAGTTTATTGTAGTGAATCTCAAACTTTCATGTTAATGATTCTATCACTGATTCCACAGAAATTTTCTCAGCGGACAAACAAACAAATGGAGTGGATAATGGTCTCGTCCGGAACCACTTTGACTGATGGGATTATTTTGCGTAGCGTCGTTATATACTTCGCTCTTTCGAATTCGATATTCGAAATAAGGATGGCACCTCTCAACTTTATTCAAATTGCAGTGGTCTTCAAATGAGTAATCAGCCTCGTATCCTCGATCATTTCTTTGTCTGACTTAGAGAAGACTTGATCGCGTAAAACTTTCTCCAAGCGTGTGATGAGCAACAGTACTTGCTTTGAAACATTATCTCGCAGATTTTCAGCTTTGTTTGCATTTACTCTTTTGGCTAAAGACCTTGTCACATTTGGCCCCTCTTCGTCGTGGTCATCAACAATTGGTACACTCACGTATTCATCTGTAGGGGCGTCGCAACTGGGGGGGGGGGCTTAGAGGGTGTAACGACCTCCAACAATTTTGAACAGTAAAAAGTTGGTCAAAATGTTTTGTTGTTAGTCAAAGGAAATATTAAATGGCGTTAATACGCTAAGTAAACTATCGGGTGTAACGGGATAATATATGTACCCGATTGCCTTCATTATCGACTAGGCGTTAATGGATTGCCGACTGATCAACTAGCTCTTACATGAACTTTTGCTCGCTTGATGAGAAGCATCCAGTAAACTCCCATGAAGTCTTGGCCAGGGCGTGAATTTGTAAAAGAACTTGCATGCAAACTTGCACCAGCAAATTTTCGTCTACTCTCAATATCCTGTTAATCTTTGTTCGTGTTCTTCCTACAGTGATGCGTTGAACAAAGTTGACAAAGTAATAATACCAGAGTATGAGTTAAAAGCTGGTGAGTTTTCACGTTGAATAAATACTGTAGTAGTAGAAATATGCTCTGCATTTCATTTTTGTATCTGCGAATGCAAAACCATAGGCGTAGAGTTTTTGTTTTGTCTTGGGGGGCTGAAGCAATAATAACCCATATAACCGTATAGGTAATGAATAATGAATATTTGATATTGCACATAATTGACAATGACCATTGATTAGAGGAAACAACACAATCAAATCTTGTTGAAAAAGTTATATAACTTACATAAAAGGAACAAGGAACTGAAAGAAATGTCACATGAAGTCATGAATAAACATGATTTTATGATACTATGGTTTATTTAGTTCCCTCTTTTGGAGATCTATTTAATATTAGATAACATGAAAGTGTTTTTTCGTACACAAGTCTTACAAATGAAATTAACAACTAGTTTATCAATGTCCAAACGTCCCAAGATTACTTTGTGCGTATTCATCAGTGTAACTGCATTTAATCGTTCTTGTGTCATTCTTCATCGTAGATAGGTTTTTAAACGTTTCAGTTCTGAGAACGACCTTTCCGCTGTGCAGCTTGACACTGGAAGTGTCAGTACAACCCTTACCAACTTGCTTACTTCTGTAATAATACCTCTGAAAGGGGCATTCTTTGCTAGAAAATTAACAATCGACTGGAAATCTTCAATAACTTTATGGTCAGAAGAAGCTTTGTCAGGAAGCATGTCCCTATGCAATAGAAGCCGTAGACCATTTACATCATCACGATAGTGCTGCACGATATAGTCCACTTCTTTTTCCTTTCCCAATAGAAAATCTTCAACCCGAGTTAGATGACGGGATGTTTCATCAGGCTCAAATATTTCCGTTAGGCCCACAAGTACACTATCCAATATATGAAACTATTTAACTCTATAAAACTCTTCAGGTGTTGAAGCCACAAAAAGAACCCCCGCCCCATCGTCAATTCTTGCGGGGATGTTTCTTTGTCTTGGTAGCCTAGGCTCTTCAATCAAATCGTTAACAGTTAGCATATTTTGGCTGGATTGCCAAATGTTTGAAAAGTAGCTCTCTTTCCTCGCATTTGAAACAGACTCTTTGATGTACTTAATCACTTCTTCAGATTTGCTGAAAGATAACTGTTTCCCTTGCAAGTCAGAGCTTCCACCTTCTACAATGGTGAAGACCATCCTAGGAACTTCAATTAGGAAGAAAGTGTTAAAGCTTGACATAGATTCTAAAAAAACCACCTACTTTGGCACCAGAGTCATTCTTTTCTGTAGAATCTACATCTGTTAGCCAATTAAGTATAGCCATGTAGTTATGGCAGATTGCCTCCAGTTAAACCAATCTCATTGTCCAACGAGTTGGGCAAAATGGTCGTAGTGATTTTCCACCACTAAAACCATCACTCTCATTGAATTCACTAAACCAAGCCATTCGTTTGGAAGAACCACGTATAAAAGCAATTAAATCTTGAATCATGTTCAATATATTTCTCATTACCTTGTTGTTTTTCATTGCATTTTGGACTGCCAGGTTCAGCTTATGTGCACGACAGTGAACGTATGTTGCACGAGGTTCTTCTTGAAGAATATTTGTGCGCAAACCATTGAAATGACCAGAAACATTAGCTGCACCATCATAGGACTGTCCTCTACACATATTAATAGAAAATTGAAATCGTAAAAGAACATCTTTGACAATGTCATATATCACATCGCTAGAGTAATTGAAGTTTGGTAGAAGCCAAAGAATAGTTTTTCAATCAGGAAGTTTTCCTGGACAACTCGAAAGCAAATACTTACCTGTTCCTTATTTGCCACGTCAGAAGTCTCATCAAAGATAATTCCATAATTATATCCAGCATTAATTGTCAACACTCCACCTCCCAAATTGTTCTAAAATTGCATGACTATAAGCAGTCAAGATGTCATAGTAATTTCTGGTGATAGCCATTTAAATTTGCTCTTTCTTTTTAACCAGTTTGAAGTTCTACAACATCATCTGCTCTTTCATCAAGTAGGTTCGTTAAATTTGATTCCTCTTCAACCTTACCTCTAATAGATAGTCCTTGACGACCAAGGAATTGAAGACTTGTAAATATTTTAACCAGCGCAATTCTATTTTCTTTCATTTGGTTTGTATGGCCACCAACAATCAATTGTGAAACTGACTGTTTTTTCTTTGAAGATACCATTGAAAATGCAGCCCGATGGATTTTTCGTGAGAATGAAATTTTTCTAGCTCTTTTTTCCAGTTTCCAAAACCATTCTCAACAAAACATTTGACTGAACTAATCTGGGTTGACGAAGTAGGTAATTGCATACCATCATCCCGTGCAGCTTTGCAGGTGCTACAAAATGCTATCTGCCTTTCATTCTCGTAGAATAACCAGTGGAACTTCTGCTTCCAGCTTTCTCCCACATTTTTTCTTGGCCACCTTCTTTTTGAGTTGTTCAGTAACTTCAGTATTCTGGCTGCTGCAACTGCCAGTTCCAACATCCTCTTCAAAGTCTTCAGCCTCAGATGTTTCACACGAAAGTGACACTCCAGCTTCAGGCGCATAATCTACATTTGAACTTGCCAGTAAAATATCGCTCTCACTGGATTCATTGCGAGATTGTTCATAAATAGTTTTGCTATGTTTTCGGATAACAAACTTGTCCGTAATGAAGCGGGAAAAACAAATATATTGCCATATTGGTCAAAGCAGTCACAATTTTATACCCCATATACTTTATTTAAGCGTGTACGAAAACCATTGCTGAGACATAATAATAGAAATACACGAAGTATAACATTTTTACAGCTATTAGTTCTGCAAAACGTCTGCAGGGGCTATGCCCCCGGTGTAAGATTTCTGGAGGGGCTCGAACCCCCCACCCCCATATTCTTCGCCGATGGCAGATACTATGCCAGAGAAGCCTCGTACCCAGGCGCAAATAACGTACTAAAAATAGCAACACTACAGTGTTTTTATATAGATCAGTGGCTAAGATAAGCG